ATATATATACTATATATAATATATATATATACTGTAAATCACTCACCCTTAATAAAGTACAGGGCTCCCCTATCAAGGCAATTTTCATTTATAAATGTATTCATTGCCCATGACCCCTCAGTTGAACTTTGATCCCAGGCGTTGTAAATGTTCAACCTGCTGATGTGATCACTCTTGGATGATCCACCATACCACTGCTTTACCTAAATGAATATGAACACTCGTTGTTTAGAATACCCATGCCACCTAGAAAATTGAGACCCCTCTAATTCCAAGACCCCTCTAATTCGAGACCACTTATTCAAAGAACCAAATAACAATCCCCAGTCTGTTCACACAAAGTTAACACTCTAGTTAGAGGTCAAACCCCAAAGGCAACCCCAAGTTTCCAAAGGTGGCTTGAATTGGAGGGCGAACTGTAATTCCCTAACAACTGTAAAAAGTAATCATTAGGATTCAATTTTACCAAAGTTTATCAACATAAAATCGAAATATATCAAACTACTTAGAATTTGATGCATCCAGACTACTGTAATTTTCAAAGGAATCCGATAACACATAATAGAAAATTTCATAAAAACATTAGGAAAATTTAGTTTATGAACACACACACAATTGTCCAAAACAGATTTTTTTCAAATGCCATTAACATGAAAACTTACATTTGTAAACGTAAATAAATTTAGCTCGCTAACAATGTTTTGATGCTAGCTTGTCTTTTCCAGAATACAAATATATATAATATAGAACTACATGTATGTCGTAGAATGTTGAAATTCTATCGCTTTTAGTATGTTATCAAATCATTTTAATTGTTTAAATATTTATTGCCACATAAATTTAATCATTCAACTCATCTACTGTATTTAGAATTGTCTTATTAACACAAAAAACTTTTGGTTGTTGCTTTCTCTTGTTACTGACCGCCATAATTTTGTTTCGGTTATGAAGAGTTTCTCTGGTTGGTTCTCTTGCACTTAGTCCAGCAACAATTGTCATCACAGGGTTCATACATCTAGAACAACATAAAAACCGGCAAACACATCAGTAGCATTCATGACATACAATTTAACCTTCAGCTAATCCTGCAAATCGTATTGAAACAACTTTCTATTTGAGTGTTAGGCAAGTGTATGGAGGGTAATGATATAGAAAAGTTAATGCTAATTTTCAAAAGAAGGAGTAGCTCTTTCTTTGTTTTGTAATACAAAAATGATAACCTGTGGAAGAGTGGAGGGGTCTTTCTGTTGGTGAATTTGGCTGTACATCGGAGACTATCTTCTATTCTTTAACGAACAGTGTACTATACAATTGCACACTGGACCAATGAGCTTAATTAATGTCTCACTATTTTAAATTGCATTTTAGGCCTCCTCCATGTTGGAGTTGAACCAAGAACCACAGTCTGAGATGATCTCCACGGTTCAGCGCACACACAAAGTCATTTATTAGTTTAGCTAATGGCGTTAAAATGCTCTCTAGTTTTTAGAATGATTAGTAGTATCAACCTCTCAGTCACTAGTGTAAACAATACGGAGTTTTTGATTGCACGACGGTAGGAGGTAGAACATAATGACGTCACTAAAAGTCATCTGCGCATGCTAGAACGTAAAAGTCACCTCGTCGAGTACATTCTGGAATGCAAATATGCAGAGAACGTAGGACGCCAGGTAGGACGGTCACGCATGAGTGATTCCGTTTAGCGTCACGTTGTCGCACAAATCAAAAGCTCCCTGTTTATGATACTGTATCCTACAATGCCGAGACTCGGATCAATGAGAGCACTATTCTCACCTGAAAATTGAGCTGTACACTAGTGCCTTCGCTAGACGAGGGTCTGTGCTAAGCTGTGAAACTTTCTTTCCTAAAGGAGTAAGGCATTCATTTTTGTCCAAAATATCCATCTCTGTTAAAACTTCGATTGATTTGTCAACTATAAAAAAACAATTATTCATTCTATTATACACATTACTATAAAAAGCACACTCTTTGGAAAAGCGTTAATAATTATGAACAGTTTCTTACCCGCTTCAATAGTCGGAGCCTGAAGTGCCTGCGATAGAAATTCCTCAGCATTGACAAGGGGGTTATGAACCTTGGCATGAACTATGACCTGTTCTAATGGCACGCGAAGAAGCTCAGGGACTTGGTACGCATCTAAAAGAGTCATTTGATATAATGAAATAATGAAAATCATAACCTCTTTAAAGGTTATCTAAAGTGTAAAAAACAAATTGAAAATTTAAAAATTATCAAGAGCTTAATAATAATACAACAATACTAATAATCACTGAAATACCTAGCTGTTGATATTCATCTTGAGTGAATAGATGATAACATTCACCAGGCTGACAGCGGCCAGCACGCCCCTTACGTTGTCGAACGTTAGCCTGTGAAATCCACTGTAGGTCTAGACAAGACACCTTAATAGGATTATTAACAAAGGTTAACATAACTGCATTTGGGATGTGTAGCATGGTAATCAAAGCTCACAGCAGCGACAAATGTATGTGTTTCAATGGCGCTTTTTTTTGTACGGTCAGGCTACCGTTTTTAGCTACAGAATCCTGACACCAATCATCTGTAAAATCACTAAAAGTGAGCATAAAGCAGTATAAAAGCAGTGCATGAAGGTTTTTTTGGAAATGCTAAAGTTAAGTGCGGTCCTCAGTGTTCAAAAATTAAAAATTCCCTTTGGCCCTCCAGCCCACTTTCATGCCCACCTGTGAAGTACATGATAATGATGATGAAAACCATAATGATGTTAATGATGGTGAAGACAATGATGTATATGATGATGAAAGAGGACAATGATGTAGATGATAATGAAGACAATGACGTAGATGATAATGAAGACAATGATGTAGATGATAATGATGATGATTAAGACAGCGATAATTAGATTGACAACTGGTCAGTGTTCCTTAGATACTCACCCCTAAATCTGAGTTGTAACCTTGCTCCTTATGATTACCAATGTTGATCACATAAACGACATCATTGATGGTAATAGACGTTTCAGCTATATTGGTGGCAAGCACAATTTTCCTTACACCCTCAGCTGGTCTAGATTGTTAAGAAAATTTGAAGGGAAAGCTTTTATAAAGAAGGGATACTTAAGGCTGATACATGATGATATCTAGTGTATGTATTATGTGGGAACAATGAACACTTCTGGAATGTCAATCAGAATAGGTCTACATGTGTTTGCGTACGTTTATGCTGTCATTTTGTCGCCCAAATCCATTATTTGGGAGCTTTCGATTGCACAACAACGGTAGGACGTAGAACATAATGGCTTCACTAAAGGTAATCTGCACATGCGAGAATGTTAAGTTCTCTTTGTCGCATGGATTTTAGGACGCAAATTGGCCAAATCTACATATGCAGAGAACGTAGGACATCCAGTAGGACGGCAACGCATGAGTTATTCCATTCTACCGTCGCATCGTTTAACAAATCAAAAACTCAAATCTAGCATTTAGATTGACTTAGAAACATATCTATACGCTATTTTAATATTTCAATTTTTTTTTATGTATAGTTTTAAGCCACTGATTTTTGTGTTACAGTTTTTAATACAACATCATAAGTAATAATATCAGTGAATTTAAATTATATTAAAATTAGGTTTGAAAAACTTCTGCCACAGCTTGGCAGTGGAGGATCTAGGAGTCTTGTAATGGGGGTGGGACTGACGGGAGGGGGCTGATGGGAGGATGCAAAGGCGAAGTTTGGTGCGCTCGATCATTAAGTGAGGGGTCGCTCTCTTAAAAAATGAAGTGAAAGAGGTGATTTATAACTACTTAGGTGTGTGGTTTTTTGCTTTAAACATCTTCAATGAGGCAGCGGAGGGAGGGGGGAACTGGTGGTGCACAAGCCTTTTTTCCTCCTAGATACGACACTGCAGCTTGGACATGCAGGACATTCAAAATGGTCTGTCTGTACTGACAGTTACAAGAATTTTACCAACCTCTTGAATATCTCCTGCTGTTCTGCAATGGAGAAGTTTGAATGTAATGGTAAAACCAGGCGATTTCTTCTATCCTGTTAAAAATAATAATATCGAATATGTGCCTCTCTTGATTAATTGTCTCTTCTCAAAAATGAGCTTTGGCTTTGCACAAAATTAAGAAATTATAAAATACAATTCTGGATTTATATAGCGCCTCACGTTGACACAACTTTGAGGCGCTGAACAATAACAGAGAGGAAAAACCAAAACAAATCTGCAATAAGCCTAGGCCTTATACTCTAATTTGAATAATGATTGCAGAACATACAGTGTTTGTATGTGTGCCTGAATGCATGTATGTATATATATACTGGTGGTAGTGTTTCTCTATACAAGTTTAATATCAAGTAACTTCATCAAAATGTAATATTGGTCAGTGAATAAAAACTTGCTAAGACAAACCTGGTAGTGATTGTCTGTCAGTCTGTCTCTTATACACATCTAGATGTGTATAAGAGACAGACCACGTCTTCTCGAGTAATAACTTAAAATGGATGTCTAGTGTACACATCTGGCTTACACGCGCTTTAAAGAACCCACTGCATGTTTCGGAAAAGTATGGGGTTATCTCAAGGCTATGGTTCCTTTCAGTCCCTGTCGTCGTGGAATGAGGTGACCATGTGTAGCTACTATATTTATAGGCAGTCACGGACAATGCCAATACACAATTCAGCATAATGACGCTACAAATTATGGGCTATTCTCCTAACTTTAAAGTATAAGAATTCCTAAATCTGCATGTTACGGTCCTAATCCAATTTATAAATAATAACATCCAATCACAATTAGGAATTGATTTAAGACTGGTGTAACAATAGCCACTGCCTCAAGTTAATACAACTGACCTGGATTTTCTGCTGTCAAATTTGGTCTGGTATCTTTGCTAAACTGAATGTAACTGTTACCTGGCCTCTTAGGTGGCACTCCTGTGCTCAACTGACATTTTAGTAATATAGCAGGTGATCTGCAAAAAAATGTTCACAATCACAATTTATATGTAAAGTATTCTGGCAAGCACAATTTTCCTTACACCCTCAGCTGGTCTAGATTGTTGAGAAAATTTGAAGGGAAAGCTTTTATAAAGAAGGGATACTTAAGGCTGATACAGGATGATATCTAGTGTATGTATTATGTGGGAACAATGAACATTTCTGGAATGTCAATCAGAATAAGTCTACATGTGTTTGCGTACGTTTACGCTGTCATTTTGTAGCACAAATCCATTATTTGGGAGCTTTCGATTGCACGACGACGGTAGGACGTAGAACATAATGGCGTCACTAAAGGTAATCTGCACATGCAAGAACGTTAAGTTCTCCTTGTCGCATGGATTCTAGGATGCGATTTGGCCAAATCTACATATGCAGAGAACGTAGGACATCCGGTAGGACGGCCACGCATGAGTGATTCCATTCTACTGTCGCATCGTTTAACAAATCAAAAGCTCAAATCTAGCATTTAGATTGACTTAGAAACATATCTATACGCTATTTTAATATTTCAATTTATTTTTATGTATAGTTTTAAGCCACTGATTATTGTTACAGTTTTTAATACAACATCATAAGTAATAATATCAGTGAATTTAAATTATATTAAAATTAGGTTTGAAAAACTTCTGCCACAGCTTGGCAGTGGAGGATCTAGGAGTCTTGTAATGGGGGTGGACTGACGGGAGGGGGCTGATGGGAGGGGGCTGATGGGAGGATGCAAAGGCGAAGTTTGGTGCGCTCGATCATTAAGTGAGGGGTCGCTCTCTTGAAAAATGAAGTGAAAGAGGTGATTTATAATTACTTAGGTGTGTGGTTTTTTTTGCTTTGAACATCTTCAATGAGGTGGCGGGGGGAGGGGGAACTGGTGGTGCACAAGCCTTTTTTCCTCCTAGATACGACACTGCAGCTTGGACATGCAGGACATTCAAAATGGTCTGTCTGTACTGAAAGTTACAAGAATTTTACCAACCTCTTGAATATCTCCTGCTGTTCTGCAATGGAGAAGTTTGAATGTAATGGTAGAACCAGGCGATTTCTTCTATCCTGTTAAAAATAATATTATCAAATATGTGCCTCTCTTGATTAATTGTCTCTTCTCAAAAATGAGCTTTGGCTTTGCACAAAATTAAGAAATTATAAAATATAATTCTGGATTTATATAGCGCCTCACGTTGACACAATTTTCAGGCGCTGAACAACAACAGAGAGGAAAAACCAAAACAAATGTGCAATAAGCCTAGGCCTTATACTCTAATTTGAATAATTATTGCAGAACATACAGTGTTTGTATGTGTGCCTGAATGCATGTATGTATATATATACTGGTGGTAGTGTTTCTCTATACAAGTTTAATATCAAGTAACTTCATCAAAATGTAATATTGGTCAGTGAATAAAAACTTGCTAAGACAAACCTGGTAGTGATTGTCTGTCAGTTGATCAAAAACATTTTTTATTTCTTGCCAGCCAGGAAGAAAGCACAAGATAGCACCCTAGAATACAAATAAAGGATGAATAATATGATTAAAAATACAGTAACTATTACTTCAATGATTTTTAAACATTGCTAATGATGAAAGACAACAAATGTGATGATCATGATGAGTGATCATGATGACGGTGAACTTGATAAATGAAAGACAAATAAGATGATTACAATGATGATGGTGACTATGTTTTACTAGAGCAATACATTTAGGTATTGTAGGTAGATATTATCTGTTTCACAGTGAAGGTAGGAAAACAATAGAGAAATGAGTATACACACATTCAAACCACAGGTAATGATTAAAAGCGATAGAAGAGCCTACCATTAAAAGACATGTCGTTCTCACACATCTTGCAGAGTCTCACGCATTTAACTTCGACCTCACACCCTCATGTGAGCCCTATATATTCTCACGCATTCCAGAATTCCTTCAAATTATATTTTATAATGTGGTATTTTCTCAAAACAAGCATACAACATGTAAAAACACGACTATCGGCGCTAGTGATCCCGTAGCGATCGTCACAGTGTTCGACACCCCCTTAGCAGAAACTGAAGAAAACTAAATGGGATATCAAAGTGGCACTTTGTATCAATGTTTCACTGTAAAAAGTTATGTTATATGACTGTATTTTCCTTAAGGTTTGTGACCTCACACATAATTTTCAAAAAATGCCCAATCTCAAGAAAATCCAGAAGAAATCTCAAGCAAGCCAGTGTGAGACCCTTGACAGGTCTGCATTGGTGGATACGGGAGCTATAGAAGATTCTATTACTTTAATTAAACAGCAGATGTAGTTGCAGTTGCAGTAGTCAATGGTGCATCAAATAGTCTTGAAAGAAAGGGGGGGCTATTGGGGCGTGAAGGGGAAGTGGAGGAGCTCGATGACTAAGTGAGATGGTGCAAAAGAAGTGATATGAGGTGATTTTTAACAACTTGAGCATGATTTTTTTGCTTCGAACATCTTCAATAGAGGGATCAGCTCAGGGGACGGGGTTCTTATGTGGGGGGACGGGGTTCTTTTGTGGGGGGACATGCTGTGGCTGCAGAAGCAGTAGTGCTATGAAATATATACCTATGTAGCTGACTTACTTCTTGCTTAGTGTCATCAAGATGATTGATAAGATTGGTTACAAAGTCAAAATCTGTAAATGGGTAACGTATCTTGTTGTCATCATTACCGTTGATGGTTCTTTGCAGACTACGACCAATCATTTGCTGTATCTCTGGTAGGAAGAACTCGGTCACTGGGTAGGTGAATCCAGGCACAGATATGATTGGACAACTAATTTTATGAAGATACATAAAAAATTAAATTAATCAATGGTCAATGATTGTTATAATTCTTGATCTCTAACATGATATACAATACAACAGAGTAAATACAGGTCTCCCTCCAATTAAAGACCCCTTGGGCCTCTAATTAAAGACCACCTCCAATTAAAGACCACTTTTCTGTGTGGTCCCAAATGAACAAATTTCTTTTATCTGTATTATTATAATTAGAGACCAAAGCTGCTGAAGACCGTGGAAATCACCAGCCCCCAAAAATGGTCTTTGAATTGGAGGGAGACCTGTAATAATTAACCAAGATGAATAAGAGAAAAACAGAACAGAAGGAAGCAAATCAACTCAAGTGTTTTTCATCAATTTAAATATTTTATTGAGCATCTTAATTTCTTCTTTTAGAGACAATAAAATATATTCTGATATAACATTTAACAAAACTTCTAAAATACTACAAAATCAGTATAAAATCAATATATTTTTACTTACTTTTGGAAATAGTCACTAAACATCTTTGAATTAATTGAAGCACTCATTAATATTACATGAATATTTGGATTTTCTTTGATCAAATTCTTGACAAGGATTAAAAGAAAATCAGTGTCGACATCTCTTTCATGCACCTCATCAATGATCACATGACTTATGCCTAGAAAATAAATAAATGAATACGCATATTCACATGATGATAGTACCTTTGGTATGCAAAAACACCTCCACTGATGATAATTAATGATATTTAAAGGTTTATACTGGCCTCATAGCTCAGCTTGTAGAGTAGCCAAAAGGCCTTTTTAAAGGCTTTGGTTCAATTCATAATGGGGACATGTTTTTCTCAAATATTTATGATGATGATGCTAGTGATGATGAGGATGATGATGATAATTAAATTGAAGGTGATTTTCTTTAGATTGATCAAGATTCACATTGTAAACACATCCTCATAATCCAAGCAAAAACTCCAATGATTTCTAACACTTTCTCGCCCCTGGGCACACTGTCTCTGGTTATAGTCCATCAATTACATACCTGTTAAACTTGAATTTGTTTGTAGTTTCTTGAGCAGTATACCAGTGGTACAAAACAGAATGGAGCCGTTGCTATCTGGAAGTCTACTGTTCAACCTCACTTGATATCCAATTGATTTTCCCACATTTTCTTGCCTTTCATTTGCAACACGCTGAGCCACAGAAATAGCACTAATTCTACGAGGCTAGTAATTGATTAAAAAAATTATAATTCAGTAAACATTATGAAACATAACTGTTGATAATCAAAGCTTCTTTTAACAGACAAGTAGCGGAAAACAATGGGTTAATGATACAATAACATCTATGATAATGTTGATTTATGTAACTACCTGTGTAACAATAATATTGCACTCTGATCCTTTCTCATTTCTAATGAAATCTTCTAAAATAAATTGCGGAACTTGTGTCGTTTTTCCACACCCAGTTTCACCAGACAACACCACCACTTGATTGTTTCGAATTTTTGAGATTACTTCTTCTCTTAAAGTTAAAAAAACAACAACATAAAAGCACTATTAGTACAGAAAAATGGTCAGGGGCAACTTAATCAAATGAATAATAACTCTTTCAAGTCAGTTGCCCCTCAAATGCAACATATTGAGAATGCTAGTGTTTCCTTCTTCAGAGTGCATAGTTTTTGGCATTTCCTGTACTTTAATAAAAAAAAAAAAAAGCAAATGAGACTTTTCAGCAGAGGGTTAATTTAGTTAATCGTCTCCGCAATTTCAATTTGAAACCCTAGTTCCATCAATGGCTGATGATAGAAAAGAAAATCATTAAGGGAAACTTCCTTACCTCATATTTGCGATTGGAAGTGACGCAGCTTCTTTTCTGAGAATTGACTGGGAATTTTCTAAAACATTCAGCTGATCTAATAGTTTGTGATTTTTTACAGCTATATTTTGGTCCGAGAGGTGAACTAGCGGTTGTCCAGTAATAGCATCAATTACCGGAGACTTTGATTCTTCAGAAAATGAATCTAGAAACCCTCCAGCAACTAGGTCTTGTTGACCTGGATTGCTATTAAAATGCTAAGAAGAAAGAATACTCATTAAAATTTGAAAAGATGTGGGTGGTAATGGAACATGAAAAAAAAAGGGTCAAAAAGATGACTATAACACTAGCGATGGTAGAGAAAATATGGTCAAGAAAACTGCTGGATGTAGAGTGGTAATAAATCCATCAGTGCTGGTAGCCATGGTCAGTTGCTGTGATCACTGTTCGTCTGCATTAGGACGTGCATGATTTCTTAGCAGTACGTGCACTGACACTTTTCATACAGTTCTTCGCGATACTTGACGATACAAAGAGGATGAGTAAATTGATTGGGGTTAATGAAGTTTATTAGGGGTTATTAAGTAGGCCTAACCTCCTAACGAAATATTCCTTTACATTGTAACTGTAGTAAAATCACTAGGCACTATATCGATTAGTGATCAGTCGCAATAGGAAAATTCAGTCCAAATGAAAGTGATGATGTCACCACTGATTTATAAAGCAGTTCATTGTAATTTTGTACTGAAACTCATTGGCTGACTTTTTTTTCCACGGTGTATTGCTGATCAGAAATTATTTATATATTTATTTAGATTAATAGTAGCTTGTGTGGCAGAAAAGAACGATAGGAATGGCAATAATGATGATCATAATCATGAGGATGATTTTTATTATTAGGAAAAGCTGATAAGCTGACTTCAACCTACCTTCAGATTGTCAAGTCCTTGAAGAACTTCATTTTTGAGTTTTGGTGTCAAAGATATCCAAGACGGTTGAAGATCCGCCTTAAAAAATGACTTAATGTCATCTTTGTTATAAAGTAACAACTTTCCTGGAATACGAGGTCGGTTGTGCTTGTCAAGGTAACCCAAGTTCTATCAAAGACAATGAGAAGATGGTGAGTTACGAATTTCCATCAAATAGTATACAAAACATGCTGAAACATATGAAGAGATTGAAGAATGTAAATTATTTCTACAGATGCTTCGTTCTTTTAAAATTATGTTTTTTAAAGAGTCGCTGACAATGAAAACAGGGGGAAGCAGCTGATGGATGGATACAAAAGTATCAATTAGGAAAACAACAATACAGTAATGCTTTACAGTGTGAGATCTGCAGAAACACTAATTTCCACCTAATTGAGCTTCTCATGTACAATGGAACTATCATTATACAATGAAGTATACACTTAAGTGTTCAGCTGCAAATTAAAATTATACTGTGTGAATTATGAATCCAACTTGATATATTATTTTACAACAGAATCAAAGGATCCTGGATCTAATATTTTACAAATGAATAAATTGAATCTTGAATAAATATAAGTAGAAACATTATTATGATATACTGAATGACATTACAAACACAATAGAGGGATTTGGATATGATTGTTTACAGGTGGTCACATGACCTAACTTGGGTATACATGAAAAACATTACAGTGCGATAGCATAGGAAAAGATAATATGATTGTTCAAAATAGTGTTTCTTTACTTATCCTAGCGTTCTCCTTGGATTGTATGCTTTGAAATTTAAGTGATCCTCCATAAACCTTAGCTGGCCCTAACATCACAGTGTAGATCGCGGGTCGAAGACCATCATGCATACCTAACCATGCCGCAGATGTGCAGGGACCTAGGCCTAACATTTGTCGAAAAATCTCAATGTTTGCGGCCAGCATCCTTTACAGCATTAGCAAACCATTAAGGCAAAATTCTTAAGTTTCACTTCAAATCACTTTGGTATGGTTTACTGGGAATTATGATGATCTATTCAGCAATAAACAAGTGACAGCCGCTATACACCAACCTCCATGTAAAACACTGCTGTGTCAGTGGATTGTTTATATCCAACACCCAAGTCAGGTCACGTGACGCTCATCGCCAAATCCCTCTATTGAACTTTGATACCATAATAGCAGCATGTACTATGAAATACTGACCTTTGATATCACAATACTATACAGACTATAAAAAAATACGGACCTTCAATTTAGCACAAGCAAGTGCAGCTGCCATTCTCTCTGCTTCTACTTTCTTCCTAGCACTTGTGACAATTTCAAATTGCACCGGCCAATTAACAGTAAGTACACTTCGTTTTAGTTTACTCCCTGTAGTCTTATATTGCCATAGTGATTTGACTTTGGATGCACCATGCATCAAAACATTATTCAGGATTTCTTTAGGACGTTCAAATTCCTTCAATGCCTGCCGGGCATCCTTCAAAGAAAATGCTGTACATTGAAACAAAGATTAGATTTATTTAGACTAGACCAAAAAGTGTACACAGTACAATATACAAAACAAGAAATGAATGACAATGAAATGAAAACAAATAATAAATAATAATAGATGGATTTATATAGCGCAAATAAACTAGGGGACTAGTTATTGCAGACAGACACAGTTTGCCCTAGACAAAAAAACAAATGGTTTAAAGCAATTCAAGAGTTTGTGTAAGCGAGAGCCACTTTGGCTTCACTAACATTTCGCTCCATGGCAGGTCTTCAAAGCTCAAAATTGGCCATCACGCACATCATAAAAATATAAGAAACACAAATATATTGAAATGGAAAAAGAACCAAATATTAACACATGTGACATGTCATTACTTGGTTTTATTAAAGGTTTCACTGGCCGATCTAAACTTTCACTTACTATGTATAATAGCTGTCTCTTATACACATCTAGATGTGAATAAGAGACAGAAAATACACCCGAATAAAATGTCTATTGTAAACCATAGCTCAACCAGGGTCAGAAAATTGTGCAGAGTCAGTAACTTACATCCTCCTTCTTCGCTGTTGTTGTTGAATGTTGTGGTGGGGCTTGCAACACCGGACCCAAATTTAGAACGAAGCTTTGGCTCAATAGTACTTGAATTCCCATTTCTATTGTTACTGTGAATACGACATGATGACAAAAAACTAAAGTCAGTTAAATTTAGTCCGAAACGCGACCTTTCGTGAAATTTACGAAAATATTGTGATCCATACTTCCATGCAATGTGCGCAGACATCTTGGATTAGCCTTCTGGAACCAAAATAATTGGTTTTTATGAAATTTTAAAATTGAAAAATAAATTTACAAAAATATACTTTTACGATTAAAAACAAATTAGTCTACTTAAAAATATATTTTAAAATTTTAAGTTAATAATATTTTTATTTTAGTTATTTTTATAAAATAATAGTATTTGAAATCTTGAGTTGACAAGCGGGCTGACGACGCATACGGTACCGTTGAGCTGCAGAGTGTGTATGTTTATTGGAATGAGTGTTTGATTCATGCATTTTTTAATCTGAAGCAGGTAGCACCAAAAGCATTTTTTTAGTTGAATTTCTTTCTATTTATCAATTGCACCTTAAAGGTTCATAGATGTAATTTCTTTCCTGTTGTTGTTCCAGTTGTTTTCATAAAATGTATCCTACTTCCGCCCCTTCTTCCTACTCGCTCTGTATTTTACTTACCGTGTGTAGGCCGAGGCCTAGACCACTTTGAAACTTTATTAATTTAGGTGCTGGAAGGTGCTACTAAAAGGGCACACATTATTAGATTATCACCCTTTAAAAAAAAAAAAGTGATGAGGGTGGCAGTTTTTTTCCCCCATTAGAACAATAGAATATTGCCTTTTTTTATCGATGAGGGAGGGACTGTTTTTATTTGGCAAGAATATTGTAAATATTGTATGAAAACTAGTTTAATTTTATTGTTTTTTAAAGAGAACGTATTTCCTGTCACAAAATTGCATTGTATTTTTTATGCTGTCAAAATAAATGATGCGGCAAAATTTTTTTTTTATTCCCCCCATCAATATTTTCCAAATTTTTGATGCGGGCGAGAGTGATAATCTAAAACTTTTTTCTATGCCCTAAGTACAGCAAGGTATTGTGTACGGTATCTGTAAACATGTTCACTTCAGTTTAAAAAGTAAACTGTAATAGGCATAGGCTAGTTGATGTTAACATATGCTGTGAATGCAGTGCGTACGTATGTGACACTGACAAGCCAATCCAATGAGCATGCATGAATTTATCACCCTCACGCGCATGTCTTTTATGGTACTGAGAAAAAAAAAATTTTTGTGCATGTCTTTTATGGTACTGGAAAAAAAAAATTTTTGAAAAACATTTTTTTTTATTTATTTTTTTCATTTATTTTATTAAATAGTTAGATATTGTTTGCATTATCTAAACCATGTTTTACTTTGAATATCAATGCACCAGCACAACCCAAGTGTATTTGGCTTTAGCAAAATAGAAAATTAAAAAAAACCTTCCCTCCCTCATTACTTTTCCTGCCCAGATAGGGTGATAAACTAATAATATTTTTTATGGGGCCTAATAAATAGGGCACAGAAAAAATTATTAGATTATCACTATCAATTTTTGTTTTTAGATGCCCAAAAATAACATCAGAGGTGTTTTGGGCAATCAGTTTTTTCTTTTTCTTTCTTTTTTTCCCCTTCTTTTTATACCAAAAGCAGGCCTGGGCTGGCCAGCCCCCATCCCCACTAAATTCTAAGGGTTGGAATGTCTAAAAAGGGTAAATAATAATTTACCTTGAAAGGTTAAAGAAATAATAGCATAAATATATCATTATTTTGTACTATCTTCACAGCTGTTGAGGACGAAAACACTACAGAATCATGGCATGTCAATCAGATTACACATGCAAAATTGGACCATCTATATTGAACTCTGACCTGTCAATTCTTGCCAGCGAGTGTCAGAGAATGCTCGACAGTGGTGCTGACTTTTTACACTTGGACGTTATGGATGGGTAAGCATATTATTGTTAGAGATCCAGTGGTGGATCCAGGAATTTGAAATAGAGGTGGCCCAGAAAGGGAATTCAACAGATGGGGGTCCAAACCACTACCCTACTACAGTTTGTGGCTCTGGCATTTCGAGATGGCTGGAAACGGTTCTCTCAGTCTTAAATATGATCCACTTCCATTTACCACTGTACTGTGAGTTTTAATATTTTATTGTTATAAAAATTATCACTTTTATTATTATTATTATACTTAGTACTTTTTATTATTGTTATTTTTAATTAATTTATTTATTTTGTATATTTTTAGTAATTGTTATTATTAAGGTACTACACTACTGTTATTACTATTATTATAATTATTATTATTATTTTATGTTTTTTGAAAATTGTTTTTTTTAAATTATTATTGTTGTTGTTCATTATACTGTACTTCTACATAGATATGGAAGTATCAGTTTTAACAGTCCAGCAGGTGCAAATAGACATTTCATTTTAATAACCAACAATAAACATTGTATGATAGTCATTTTTAATTCCATTTTCAGTCACTTTGTTCCTAATCTTACATTTGGTCACCCTGTAGTGAAGTGCCTACGCAAGAAGATAACATCTGCATTTTTCGGTGAGTTATCTCTATTTAATCTGTGAAGTTTCTGAAAGTTAGAGTAGTGTATCCGTGGGTATATATTTTAATATGCTAAAAGCTCTAACATTTAGCATACAGTAGTGATGGGCTCTTAATTAGTATCGGTGGCAGATCTAGGAATTCAAAATAGAAGGGGGCCCAGGGAGAGCTTTCAAAGATGGAGGGTCTAGACCAC